TGAGGGGGTGACAAAATGACAAAAATATGAGTTTAAAAAAACAAAATTGGGCTCATGAAACTTTTTAATTCAGTCAACAAATGTAACGAAATGCGGCTGGCACTGGGCACCACACCACGGGGGCCGGCACTTACCATGGGATTTTCAGTGTACCCAAGCCACACATCTCTCCTGAGAGTGACGTGGTGACTTGGGTGCATGCAGGCTCTGTGCTGCCTTAAATGGCAGTGGGACTTGCGTCTGCCTTCCGCCTCTTCCCCAGCCACCCTACAGCTGAGGGGGGGCAGCAGAGAGGCTCCCGCAGCACATCCCGCCCCACATCCCGCCCCCAGCAGCAGGACACATGCACCGCACCGGGCACCCAAGCAGCTAGCCACCAGCTTAAAAAGGTAAAGGTAAAGGGACCCCTGCCCATTAGGTGCAGTCGTGGCCGACTCTGGGGTTGCGGCGCTCATCTCGCTTTACTGGCCGAGGGAGCCAGTGTACAGCTTCCGGGTCATGTGGCCAGCATGACTAAGCCGCTTCTGGTGAACCAGAGCAGCGCACGGAAACGCCATTTACCTTCCCGCCGGAGTGGTACCTATTTATCTACTTGCACTTTGACGTGCTTTGCTAGGTTGGCAGGAGCAGGGACCGAGCAACGGGAGCTCACCCCATTGCGGGGATTCGAACCGTCGACCTTCTGATCGGCAAGTCCTAGGCTCTGTGGTTTAACCCACAGCGCCACACTGCATCCCACGGTTACCTGCTTAGATGGCTTTAAAAGAGGATTGGGCAAATTCATGGCTTGGCAATGGCTACTAGCCACGGTGGCTGTGCTCTGCCTCCACCATTGGCTCCCAGTACGTTTCCGAGCACAATTCAAAGTGTTGGTGCTGATCTTTAAAGCCCTAAACAGTCTTGGTCCTGTATACCTGAAGGAGCATCTCCACCCCCATCGTTCTGCCCCGACACTGAGATCTAGCGCTGAGGGCCTTCTGGCAGTTCTCTCCCTGTGAGAAGTGAGATTACAGGGAACCAGGCAGAGGGCCTTCTCGGTGGTGGCACTCTCCCTGTGGAACACCCTCCCACCAGATGTCAAAGAGAAGAACAACTACCAGACTTTTAGAAGACATCTGAAGGCAGCCTTGTTTACGGCAGCTTTTAATGTTTAACAGACCACTGTATTTTAATACTTTGTTGGAAGCCGCCCAGAGTGGCTGGGGAAACCCAGCCAGATGGGCGGGGTATAAATAATAAATTATTATTATTATTATTATTATTATTATTATTATTATTATTATTATTACTACTACTACTACTACTATTGGAGCTGCAGCAATGCTTCTGAAAACCAGTTGCTGGAAACCACAGGAGGGGCGAGTTTCTCTTGTGCTCAAATCCTGATTACAGGCAGTGGCGTAGCGTGGGGGGTGCAGGGGGGGCCGGCCGCACCGGGCGCAACATCTGGGGTTAGGGCAAATCCACAGGTTAGGGGGCGCAAATCCACGGGTTAGGGGGCGCAAATTACTTGCCTTGCCCCGGGTGCTGACAACCCACGCTACGCCACTGATTACAGGTTTCCCACAGGGATCTGGTTGTCAACTGCGAGAACAGGATGCTGGACTGCATGGGTCATTGGCCTCATCCAGCAGGCTCTTCTCTTGTGTATGGATATGTGGGTGAAACCACGAAAACAGCACTGCAACATAATGTCCCCTCTCCTTCTCCTCCTCTTGGTTTGCTCTCGGTGACGTCAGAGAACCAAAACTGATTGCCTGTGTGGCACAATGACGTCATCACGGTCACAGTACGTTCCCCGATTAACAGGGATGGAGCCGTTTAAAATGCCCTTTTCAGGTTTGGGTTGTGTTTTCTGAAGCGTGGAACCCGAACAGCGGCAGATGTGGGGGTTGGGGGAGGGTCATTGGCTGCGAACAAACACATGAAATGAATGCAGGAGTGGAAAGAAAGGTTTGGGGGTGGCAATTTGCAATCATTCCTCCCCCTCCCCCCACCAGCACAGCCACTACTCGATCGTGGCAACTTCCACAGCGAAAATCAAACCTCATGAAAATTCAGTGCAGCGTGAAAGCGGAATTTAAGAAAATGAGTTTTCACCCAAGCCACGGTCTATCTTTCTCTCTCTACATTTCTGAATGCCCTCTATGATTAGATCAGATCGCCACCTTGCGGAAAATCTGAGTCATTTCCTGTTTGTGAGGGAGCGCTCCACAAACCAGCTCCTCCTCTCTCCCACTTCAGCCTCCTCCAAAGTAGGCTTTGTTTTGCTGCTGCTCTCTTGCAGCTGTTTTCGAAACATCAGAGATGATTCCATTTGGTCACAATACCGAATATTCACTATCAAGGCAGAGAAATATGGGGCGTGCTTTGCATGCTCTGCACATTTCACCGATGAAAAAATAGTAGCGTAAGACGCTGCCCCATATTAAATGGAGGTCGAAAACCACCTTGATTTTTTGTGTGCCCTGTGAAAGGGCAGTGATTTTTATGAGGTCAGACGAGATTTCCCTGAAATTTTCAGGATGTGTAGGGTTTCCTGTTTGCTTTAACTTTGAAAGGTACTTCTTCCCCCACTTGTTTTTAAAACTTTCTTTTTTAAAAAAAAGACATCATGTCTGCTTGCAAGAGCCCAAAGCTTCCTCTAGTCTCCTGGCTCAGCTGTACTCCCTTGAATGCCCACATAAAATAGACTACATCCACTCTGTGCATTTGAAGCAGTCTCATATCATTTATGGGGACGCGGGTGGCGCTGTGGGTTAAACCACAGATCCTAGGACTTGCCGATCAGAAGGTCAGGGGTTCGAATCCCCGCGACGGGGTGAGCTCCCATTGCTCAGTCCCTGCTCCTGCCAGCCTAGCAGTTCCAAAGCATACCAGCGCAAGTAGATAAATAGGTACCGCTCCAGCGGGAAGGTAAACAGCGTTTTCGTGCGCTGCACTGGTTCTCCAGAAGTGGCTTAGTCATGCTGGCCACATGACCCGGAAGCTGTACGCCGGCTCCCTCGGCCAATAAAGCGAGATGAGCGCCGCAACCCCAGAGTCAGCCACAACCGGACCTAATGGTCAGGGGTCCCTTTACCTTTTACATATCATTTTAAACAGTCAAACCTTCCCCCCAAAATAGATCCTGGTCATTGTAGTCTGCATGCAATATTAGGGGAAATCAGTTTGCAAAAAATGTGTATATATCGGGCAGAAACACATACAAACGTGTGTATATTAGGACGGATTTGCATTAAAATAAACCCATTTTTTGCTGAATTTCCATGAGGACTTAAAAAAATAAATGCAGGATTCTCAAACTGATGTGAACTGAAGCTTGGAAAAGTGAAAAACTGAAACTTGCCCACCCTTAACTTAAGGTGTAGATCCAAAATGAGTGAGAGGGAAAGAAACTCCATTAAATTGGCACGGATATACACTGGAAATAAATGCAATTTTGGAAACAGCAGACGTAAAATTAAGAAAATCTCCCCCCCACACACACACACACTCCAACACCTAGTTTCTCCCTTTTTCCTTTCATCTTGCCCTGACTACTCCTAGCATATAAGGTGAACAGTTATTCATTTATCAGAAAAACATGGAATTAGGCTGGTGCGGTATAGTGGTTAGAGTATCAGGACTAGGACCTGGGAGAGATCTGGGTTCAAATCCTCACTCACTAGGTGACCTTGCGCCAGTCACAGCCTCTCAGCCTATCCTACCCCACAGGGTTGTTGTAGAGATTGAATGAGGAGGGGTGGACAATGTATACCAACTTGAGCCCCTTGGAGAAAAAGCTGGGGTAGATATGCAATCCATCCATCCATACTTTTCCTCTTGTTGTTGTTGTTTAGTCATTTAGTTGTATCCGACTCTTCGTGACCCCATGGACCAGAGCACGCCAGGCACTCCTGTCTTCCACTGCCTCCTGCAGTTTGGTCAAACTCATGCTGGTAGCTTCAAGAACACTGTCCAACCATTCCTCTTAGTATTTCATATTAACTAAGATTCTACTTCTGAACCTTTAAGCCCAAACATTTGCCTAATGTAGGGCATTGCAGGAACCCAGCTATTTAAAAATTTCTGTGCGCTTTTCGGAACCTTTCTTAAGGGCAGCCAATTCGATAGCTCCTGCCTGCTCATGTCCTCCCCGTATCCGTCCCATCTTAGAGGCGCTGTGATTACTTCCCCACAATCTCACATATTCAATCATTGCGATGGTAATAAGGAATATCACTGGGATGAGTTTTTGCACAGTTTCCACTTGGCCTAACAAAATTTAGCAAGCATGCAAGTGGCTTAGGAACATAAGAAGTTGCCCCATAGCGAGGGCAGACCCTTGGTCAGTCCAACACATTGTTGTCTACTGTCTGGCAGAGGCTCTCCAGTTTCAAATGGGGGGGGAGCTATTTCTAGCTCTAGTGGCAGATTCTGCTGGACTGAGCCTGGGAATTTCCATATGCAAAGCAGATGCTCTACCACTGATCTAAGGCCCTCTATTTTTAGTCATCCATTCATTTTATTTACCGTTTGCTTCTTTGAAACTCCAGGAGACTTAGCAATGTTTTAAGCAAATGAGTGCATGCATACAGGTTACCTGGGCTTCGAGTGGCAAAGATGGGTCCAGAAGCACTCCCAGGCTATGAACATGCTCTTCTGAGGGCCTTCTGGCGGTTCCCTCCCTGTGAGAAGTGAGGTGACAGGGAACCAGGCAGAGGGCCTTCTCGGTGGTGGCGCCCGCCCTGTGGAACACCCTCCCACCAGATGTCAAAGGAAAAACCAGCTACCAGACTTTTAGGAGACATCTGAAGGCAGCCTGTTTAAGGAAGCTTTGAATATCTGAAGGACTATTGTATTTTAATATTTTGTTGGAAGCCACCCAGAGTGGCTAGGGAAAACTCAGCCAAACGGGCGGGGTATAAATAACAAATGATGATGATGATGATGGTCCTTTGATCCGATCTGGTCACGAGCTCACCTTCTCCCTCCCTTCTTTCTCCCCTTGTCTCCAGGTATATCCGAACCATGTACCTGGGGATCCAAAGCCAGAGGCAAAAGGAACACCAGCGGCGCTTTTACTGGGCTATGATGTACGAGTATGCAGACGTCAACATGTTGCGCCTCTTGGAGACTTTCCTCGAGAGCGCCCCACAATTGGTGCTACAGCTCTGCATAATGATCCAAAAGAACCGTGCAGAAACCTTACCATGTAAGTTGCCCCACCTGGGTGGGGGGAAGACACTGTGTGCAGGGAGGGGGGGATACACCTCCATGTCAGCAGTGACTGCTCCCCTTGATCCATCGCTGTGCCCTAGAACACGGTAGCAAACAAAGCCCTGCCTTTTTTGTGGCAAAGCCTCTGCCCGTTTCTGCTCTGGGAGATGGGCCAATTGAGGGGCCAACTGAGGCACAAATGCCTTGCCCATTGCCCTCTTTCAGTGTGGCTCTGGGCTCCAGTTTCCAAACCTTTCCAAGCCACTGTCCCTCTCGGTTCCATAAACTCCTCCACATTGCCCCTTACCCTGCCCTACAGAAAGCATTATTCAGATGAGCGGTTTTCACGACCCACGATAAAATTCTAAAGCAGCGACAATGAATTGCACATTGGTGCAAAACCCAGTTGAAACTTGTTTTGTTTAATTACCGTATTTTTTGCTCTATAGGATGCACCCGACCATAGGATGCACCTTGTTTTAGAGGGGGAGAACAAGGAAAAAATAATCTCTCCCTCTCTGCCCCTTCCATTTCTCCTCCCACTTCGCTGAAGGGGCGCTGCGCAGAGAGGGAAAGCTGTGCAGCGCCTCTCCAGCGAAGCGAAGCCAGGAGAGCAAGAGGGATTGGTGCACACTGACCCCTCTCGCTCTCCAGGCTTCAGTGAAGGCAACCCGAAGCCTCCGGAGCGTAGCGGGAGCTCCTGCTGCGCTCCGGAGGCTTCAGGTGGCTATCCCTGAAGCCAAGGAACCTGCATTCGCTCCATAAGATGCACACACATTTCCCCTTAATTTTTGAAGGGGGAAAAGTGCGTCTTACAGAGTGCAAAATACGGTACTTCAATGAGATTGATTGACTTGATCCAGTGATACCAGTTGTTCAAAGTCTGATATTAATTGGCAAGTCCAGTGCCGCCGCCACCCCACAGCCTCCCCCTTGCCCCTAAGCACTGCCACCACCACCCGGCAGGTGATCCTAGTGCCATGGCTTTGGGAACCATGGCTCAGAAGCATACTCAAGACTTGGAAAACCACAGTCAATGTAACCGACGGCAATGATACCGTTACGGAAGGGAGGAGATTGTACTGTAGCTAAATTTGATGGAGTGCAGTGGATGGTGGTCCATTAGAGCAAATGGGGCACTGCCCCACCAACTTCCATCTGTCCTCAGCTAGCTCCCACCTGCCTGCCTTCTTACAACTATTCCAGGGGTTGGCACTGCCCGCTGGCATAGTCTCAATGCTGCCCTTGTAGAAATCAGCAGGAAGAAGGATGGGAATGCCTGTCTTTGGCTCTCTGCCTCCACTTGCTGTCTTCCAATCTTAGCATTACTCCCTTCACATTTTGCACTAGTATCATTATCAAATTACCCTTTAAATTTTGTTGGGGCCAGCCAGCAACAGACCAAAATTTGTGTGCATGCACGCACACACCTTTTTCACATGCAAGCCATAAATCACACTAACATCTGTGAGAAGACAGAGATTGTGTTCCTCCGTAGCTCAGTCGGTAGAGGACGAAACTCTTAATCTCATGGTCACGGACTGGAGCCTCATGTTGGGCGAAAGATTCCTGCATTGCAGGGGGTTGGACTAGATGATCCTTGTGGTCCCGTCTGTGATTCCTTTCAGTGATTTTTACTGATGAAGATTGAAGGAGCAATGCTCTTTAGGGGCAGTCCCTCGTGAGTCTGCCAGGGAGGTCTAGTGGGAACCTGTTCTTCCACCATTCTTTGCTTGCAGAAGGCCCCAGGTTCAATCCTGGACATGTCCAGTTTAAAAGGGTCAGGTAACAGGTGATTTAAAGGGACGCGGGTGGCGCTGTGGGTTAAACCACAGAGCCTAGGACTTGCCGATCAGAAGGTCGGTGGTTCAAATCCCTGCGACGGGGTGAGCTCCCGTTGCTCAGTCCCTGCTCCTGGCAACCCAGCAGTTCGAAAGCACATCAAAGTGCAAGTAGATAAATAGGTACCACTCTGGCGGGAAGGTAAATGGCGTTTCCGTGCTCTGCTCTAGTTAGCCAGAAGCGGCTTAGTCATGCTGGCCACATGACCTGGAAGCTGTACGCCGGCTCCCTTGGCCAATAAAGCTAGATGAGCGCCGCAACCCCAGAGTTGGCCACAACTGGACCTAATGGTCAGGGGTTCCTTTACCTTTAACAGGTGATTTAGAAAGTTCCCGAATAGACAACAGCAATGCTAAGCTTGACGGAGCAATTCCCAGACTACAGCTTCTCTGTGTACTTGAGGGGTGCTCTGCATGAAGACATAGGCCACATCTTGCAAAGGCCCTTTGGGAGGAATATGGGTATAGTTACCAGGAGCTTTGGACTGCAGCAGAATGAACACCCCTGGGCACCACATTAGCAACCCCTGTCTTAGAGCTTTGCTGGGAATAATCAGAACACCAGAGCAGAGAAGCCAATTTAAGGTGGCCTTCCAGACATCATCAGTCATGTCAAATGTTGCACAATCCCCACCTTCCTAGGTCTTCTGACAACAGATGCTTCAAATATAGGGTGCTTCTGACAATGGATGCTTCAGGCTGAGCTATCAGCCTAGATTAGAGAAGGGTTATAGAAGTCCAGGGATGCGGGTGCCTCTGTGGTCTAAACCACTGAGCCTCTTGGGCTTGCCAGTCAGAAGGTCGGCAGTTTGAATCCCCGCGACAGGGTGAGCTCCCACTGCTCTGTCCCAGCTCCTGCCAACCTAGCAGTTTGAAAGCACACCAGTGCAAGTAGATAAATAGGTACTGCTGTGGCGGGAAGGTAAACGACATTTCCATGCACTCTGGTTTCCGTCACAGTGTCCGGTTGCACCAGAAGGCTGTTTAGTTCTGCTGGCCACATGACCCGGAAAGCTGTCTGTGGACAAACGCCGGCTTCCTCGGCCTGAAAGCAAGATGAGTGCCACAACCGCATAGTCACCTTTGACTTGACTTAACCGTCCGGGGTCCTTTACCTTTACCTATAGAAGTCCAGTGAGCCATATTCAGACCACCATCTCTTATATCCCAGCCAAGCTTTTTACCCATGAACTCCTAGAAGGTGAGCTGTCATGTCGACAAGTCTGCAGATCAGGCGAAAAGACCTGGCAAGCGAGATGCAGCTCATAGGCTTCACCTGTTCATGGGCAGTTTTAATTAACTTGGTCCCTTCTGATTTCACAGTACCGTGATCAGTTTTTAAACTGATTGCTATTATTTCATTAGCAAACAAAACTAGCACAGTTTTCCAACAGCCGAGAGCAACTGAGCATGGTCAGGTGTAAAGATAAGGAGACAAAAGATATATAAAAATAAGTATTAAAAGAAACTTGCACAAAAGAGACAATTTCTGACATTTTTCTAAGATAAGACATAAACAGCACATCAAAAACTCATATAATCACAAAGTGGCCGATGAAATCATATTCCAATGGAATTTTCCATCCATGTGACTGAGTTGTTAAATAAGCTTAAACAACAATAACAACAACAACAGTCCAATGGGTCCACGTCCCCTCTTGAGAACCCAGAGTTAGTGTGTTAGTTTCTCCAAGGTGGCTATAAATAAGGCTTTCTTAAACCAGTTCACAACAGAGTACAGTGATACCTTGGTACTCGAACCGCTTGGCTCCCGAACAAATCAGCTCCCAAACGCCGCAAACCCGCAAGTGAGTGTTCCACTTTGCGAACGTTTTTCAGAAGCCGAACGTCCGACATGGCTTCCATGGCTTCCGATTGAGTGCAGGAAGCTCCAGCAGCCAATCGGAAGCCGCACCTCAGTTTTTGAACATTTCTGGGAGTCAAATGGACTCCCGCAACAGATTAAGTTCGAGAACCAAGGTACCACTGTACATAGAAGCCTCCCAAGCAAGGAATTGTTGGTGGACAGTGAGCCTCATCGCCATGCACATCCATGCAGATGGTGGCCTCGACGTATTGCAGCACAGGCATGCTCCCGTAGGAAGTCCTGCTTATTTTACTCTCTCTTCTCTTCCTCCTCTAGATCTTTTACGCTACCCCGACCCGCATTGTAAACATGCTCCACACCTGCCCCCCGGGGGACGATGATGTGGGCCGCTGCGTCCCTTTTGCTTCCCGTTTAACTCTGTGGGTTTGTGTGTGTGTGTGTTCTTCCGGCAGGTGTGTCCTCTGTCGCCTCCCTGATGTCCCTGGCTTGGGTGCTAGCCTCGTATCATAAGCTTCTCCGGGACTCTAGGGATGACAAGAAGAGCATGAGCTACCGAGGGGCCCTTATCCATCTCTTCTGGCGTCTCTTCACCATCTCATCCAGAGTGATCTCTTTCGCCCTCTTTGCTTCCATCTTCCAGCTCTATTTCGGGATCTTTCTGGTGGTCCACTGGTGCGCCATGGCTTTCTGGATCATCCATGGCGGGACAGACTTCTGCATGTCTAAATGGGAGGAGATTCTCTTCAACATGGTGGTAGGGATTGTGTACATTTTTTGCTGGTTTAATGTCAAGGAAGGGCGGACCAGATACCGAATGTTTGCCTATTACACTGTAGTCTTGACGGAGAATGCTGCCTTGACGCTCCTTTGGTATTATTACAGAGACCCCGACACCACTGACTCGTACGCTGTGCCAGCGCTCTGTTGCGTCTTTCTTAGCTTCGCCGCCGGGGTGGCATTGATGCTCTTGTACTACGGCATCCTGCATCCCATGGGGCCAAGAGCTAAGATCTTTGCCAGCTCCTGTTGCGCCGAACTGCTCTGGGGCATTCCTTTGCCCCCTGATGTTGAACCCATGGCTCCCCAGACCCCAGGGTACAGGGCGGCCCAGGCAACGCCCACCAGAGCGGCCACGGAGCAACAGGAGGAACTCACGGCTGAGACTTGCTTGCCAGTTTTCCAAGTGAGAGCGATGGTACCCTCGACTCCGTCCGGGAGGCCCTACCACCCAGAAGGCCCTCTCATTAAGATAGACATCCCAAGGAAGAGGTACCCGGCTTGGGACGCCCATTTTGTAGACAGGAGATTAAGAAGGACTATAAACATTCTACAGTACGTCACCCCGACCGCCGTAGGGATTAGATATAGAGACGGACCTCTCTTGTATGAATTGCTACAGTACGAATCTTCACTTTAAAAGCTCCTTTAAACACAAGCACACATACAAACATGCAGACACACAGACACACACAGACACACGCACACACATGACACACACGACACACACACACACACTGTCACAGACAAACAACAAAAGAATTAAAAGAGGGAAATTGGGGGCGGGGAAAGGCGGGTTAAATGTTTACGGTCATGAACACAGCTCATGAAACTAACCTTCCAATAAGTTTTCTTTCTGGTTGCTCTGTATGTATTTAACTATATATATATATATATATATATATATTTATATATATATATATATATGAGAATGAGAGATCCTCGATGTTTTGTAAGTAAAAACAAAAAGAAAAACTTTCCTTTTGTTTTTTACGCGCAGGAGAAGAAGAAGAAGGGAAAAAAACAAAAAAACCAACAACGCAAAGCCAACCAGTATTTTCAAACTTCCACGGCTTTCAGAGGTCGGAGTAAAGCAAACAAGCTCCGCCTCTGAGTTTTATACCTTACACCAAGTGTAGGACATTATCATAGGGATTGGTGCTGATTGAAAATAATAATAATACTAATAATAAAAAATATATATAACAAACAAACAAAAAAACCTACAACTGCCTTATGCCCTTAGGTGCTGAGTTTCATTATGTACTGTCACCTCCCTCATGCAAAGCTCTTTGACGGTTTTAACGACAGAAATTATATATATATATACATATGCGCGCACGTACAAGACGGGTGTGCGCATATACAGTTATGTCTATATATGTATATAAATATATATATATGAAACTAGATTTTTTAAAACAAAAATCAGATGAAGAGGAAATATAATTGCTCTTATTAGATTGGCGCAAAAAGAAAAAAGTGAAAATGCCCACGCTTAAACTTGAAGAGGGTCCATGTTCGTTTTATGATTTGGCATGGGAGTTGTTTTAATTGAACGTATTTCAGTTCCTTTTATGCAGGCCAGTCTGTTTGTAATGTTATAACTGCATTCCTGATGGGGGGTGGGGGGTTAATGGGTGGGGAAGGGGAAGGGGAAGAGGAAGGGGTGGTACTTTTATGTTTCGCTATACTGAGCTTGTATCTCAGGGTGTAATCCTATTTCTTTCCAAGCCAATGAAAATCCAGTTTTTGACTTGCACCCGCTGTGCCGCAACTCACCAATTGATACGTCTTTGGGCAGCCAGGCAGTCTTCAGCCAGTCTCTCTTGCGGACCGGGCACCCAGTTCACTCAAATGGTGGAAGCTGGCTCATGGACCCCCCTAAAAAAATCCTTGTGCACATCAGTTTCTTCCATTGAACTGAATAGGGAACCCATTGCATCAGCAGACTGCAGCTTGCCTGCCTGCAGAAAATAGCTGGAGGGGGGAATCAGTCCCGCCCCACCCACAAAACAAGTTATTTCATTGGTTTTCATTGCAATTGATATTGGGATCAATACAAAACAAAACAAAAACTTCTCTGATTTGTTTCTGGAAGCAATTTTTTTTTTAAAAAAAAAGATGGCCTTTAACTCTTAAACTGAGTACCAAATACTAATGATGATCACGGTGAGGATTACGATAACAGAACTTAAAAAGTATTTATTTATTTTTTAAGTTCCACCATGGCTTTCCCCTTCCCCTCCCCCAATCATTCTCAGTCTTAATAAAACTCAGCATAGTAGCAAAAAGAAAGTCAATTTAAAGGCACAGTTCTGGAGCTTTGGCTGGTAATTGGGCTTTGATCTGCAGGCTTCATTTTAAGGCTTTAAAGAGGGACACGTCAATTGAACGTTGTAACGGTGCGTCTCGTTTCGTGTCAGCCTTAAAGTGATCTTAAAACGGTATTCTGTGATTTGTTTGTGTTTTTTTCTATTTTCTAAAGAAGGACAACAAAAATGAAAAGCGAAGGATGGGGATTAGTTCATCACTGGCGTGTTTCCGGCAAAAATTTGGTGCTTAACATTTCTGTTGTTTAATCGTTGTGATGGTTTAGCCAAGAATTGCTTGGCTTCGCTCATAGTGCTTTCTGGGGGGAGCTGCAGAAACAAACTGGCTTTCTTTCCCTGGTGCTCTTTCCTGTATGTCCGTAGGAAGGAAGACAGCATCCAGCAACATAACAGCTTAGCGTAGAGTTCCACCAACCTCAACGTTTTGACCTCGGCTTGCAGGAAAACTGAAAAGCTAGACTCTTCGTTTTAACATGTTTGATGATGTCAGGAGGTTTATACATTTGGTTGCTTTCTCCTCTGAATTTGAGTTGCAATGGCAGGCAGTGCGTACGAACCTTCCACTGAAAGAATGTTGCTTCTGTAAATGAATTCTTCTCTCATCTAGGGCAATCTCTCTCCAGCCCACAAGCAACCCACCAGAAGCTCATTTCAGTTCAGTGGATATGACTGCATTTTCCGTGTATCCGTGTATAATTCAGAAATACTGTTAAATGTTTAAAATTGCAGCAGCAACAAAGAACCCACTGAAAGACCTAAAATTGATTGCGTTCAAAAGAGAAGATCAACATGGGGGCACCTGGGCGTGAACTGTGGCGAAATATGTGTAACCACTTTTTAAAATATGATTTGTGAAAGGGTTTTGAAAGCAATCGTACCAACTTTGTATTCCATATGTTTTTAAAGCTGAAAGTTTTTTCCCACCTGAATATACCTGAGCAGAGAAATAACTTTTACAAAGGAGATGTGCATTGCTGTGGTCTGGGCAATATTATTATTATTATTATTATTATTATTATTATTATTATCCTCATGATTAATTATTTCAATTGCTAAACATTTCTCAGTGTAACGTCTGAAGTGGTTCAAGGGTGTTATTGTCAAAAACAGACACATTTTCTTTTCTTTCTTTTTTTAAAAAAGAGCCACATTTTTACTGGTCTCAGGACAATTAATAATTATTTTGCATCTTGCACCTCTGGGCTTCATGTTGCTCTTTGTCCTGTGATGATATTTTTATAAGAAAAGTGGTGCCTGTATTTCCCTCCCCCGTTTTATATTTTATTCTCTCCCACTGCCATCCACTCCAGTTGCCAGGGACAGTCCCTTCATTTTATGCCCCAGATAAAACATTGCCTTGATTTTCTCCCAGTTTTCGCCCCAGATAAAACACTGCCTTGATTTTCTCCCTGTTTCGCCCATGGGGGGGGATGTAAGGCGCAGCTTCCTAAAATATTATTAAATGACACCCATCTACCTAGAGTTTTTTAGGTTTCTTAGACTCTAGGCTCCTCCAGACTGCCTCTTTATTGATCATCCATCTTGATTTGCTTGTACAAAGCTTAAGCTATTCCACCTTTCCTCCAAGGAGCTCCAGGGCAAATAATTCTTCTCCTCCCCTTTATTTTCTGCAAAACAACCCTGCAAGGGAGGCTAGGCTGAGAGGGAATGACTGGCCCAAGGTCATCCCAGTGGGGATTCGAACACAGGTCTCTCGGGCCTTGGTGCAAAACTAACCACTACACCAAACTGGTTTGATTATATCCATTCTTTATTGAACATTCATTCTGGTTTGTTTGTGGGACAGGGGTGTTGTTAATGCGTTTCCCCCTGTCAATTTCCTACGCCCAAAGGTCCATTTTCTTTCTTTCTTTTGAAGTGTGTTGGTTTGTTCTAGGGCAACTGAGCGCTTTAATGCACATTAATTCTGCATTTCCTAGATTCTCACTCATGTTCTCTCTTTAAGAGCTAAGATGATCTGTTTGTTGAGCATTCATCCCGGTTTGCTTACACAAAGCTTACACGGAGGTTAGATTAAATACAGTATACATCGAGCATTTGTTACAGTTTGCTTATGGGGAAGTTATACGATAATGAGCATTCATCCTGATTCCTTTGCAGGGTGTTTACATGTCTTCCCGTTAGTCATTCATCCCACACTTTTCAAGACTCTTCTCTGTCCCTTTCCAAACCACAAAAAGTCTGAGTTTTGGTTTTCTTTAGGTGGATTTAACGCGCTAGGGCACTTTAAACCATTTTAAATCTGGGAACCTGAGTTTCTGTTATGCACTTGAATTCCTCCCACACACAAAAAACCTGACTGTCTGGATTTGCAGAATAATGCAGTTGAGGAGAAGCAGGGGGACCTTTTTTTAATCTATTTTTTTTTCCTGTCCTGAAGTAGTTTATAGAAAAAAAGAGGAAAAATCCCTGCAAATAAAACCTAGCACATCAGGGATAAAATTCCACCTCAGTCATCACCCCGCTATAGACAACTGAATGAACCAAGTACTCTCTATCTTGGCAGCTGCCAATCTGTAAGACTTCAGGTCTCTCTGTTTCTCTGTCTCTTGATTGTATCTCTCTCTTTTTCTCTTGAATGTTCTGCAATGGGAAAAGCATCCCATAAGTAGAATACTAGCAGTGAAGAGGTTGGACCGGAATCTTTCTCCCTGATATGCTTGTCTTCTACTTGCAAGGCGAATACTTCTTTGTTTTCGAAATGGGTTAGAAAGGAGAATTCCCACAGAAGAAAGGGCTGTTTTTGTGGCAAGCATCAGCCATGCTTCTGGTAATGAAGGCACCAGGCACAGGGCCCTGTTCGGAAAAAATATAAAATGCCAGGAGGCTCATGCAGAAGGTGCTGTATAAGTTACCCTAGTTTTGCATGTGAGCATCGACGCCAGCGCTTTGAATTCAGCCTAGACACTGCTGGGCCACTAACTGGATTCTTCTTTCCACACTGGTGCGGCATGGTTTGAACAACAGACGGAGTGTGTGGAGAAAAAATAGCCCTGGTTGAGAAGCCCTGCATCATGAAATCTAGCATGTCAGGGAAATTAGTGTGACTGGAGAACCCAAAATTAGCAAGATGGATACAAGGCAGCTGGCTGGGGTTGAGGGAACTTCTTGTCCAGAATGTCTCAAAGGAAAGAAAGTTGGGGGAGACTGGTTTGGAGTCCAGATTTTAAGCCATTAATGGTTCCCGTTTAAAATGCAGGCTTCGAGGAACCGTTGCGAGGCTTCCCAAATCGTTTCCATTCACTTTGCTGTGTGGTGGTTTTCAACCAGGGTTGCTGTTGTAGTTATTCGGATTTCTTACACAAACACACTCCACAACATCCCAGGGTAGGCAACAGCCATTTACAAAATGGAAAAATAAAACTATTTAAATAATGATGGTAATAATGGTAATTTTAGTATTTATACCCCGCCTATCTGGTTGGGTATCCCCAGCCACGATTTACAATTTAAAAACAATACAATTTACAATTAAAAAACAACAACATAGGGCAGAAAAAGCCAGTCAGCTTTCCTTCGTTTTTGCCTTCGCCTTAGTTCTCCCCTCTTTGACTTTCCCTCAACTCAAACTTCTTCCTCACACCACAAATATACTTATATATTTATTTTCAACCTTCCATCCTACCTGTTCTCCAGGAAGCTAACAAGGCACAGAAAACAGTATTTCAAAAATACGAAGTAATCCCAAAATCGCCATTATAAAAACTATTTGCTTCTCAGATTGCCCAGCAATTGGGGGAGGGGGGGGTTTCCCTCAGAAATTTTCCCAATTTTCTCCTCAGAAAAAAAAAAGGCTCTGGTGAGGGCTCTAAACGTACAATATTATGGTCTTCAGGCACAATATATTTCAGCATATTTCACAGCTGGTTTACAGGAGTAATTTGATATTTTGACTGTGGCTAGTCAGTCACTGACTTCCCCTTAACAAACACCCGTGTTTGGATTTTGAGGTGAAAATTTCGGTTTTGGGGTGCTGGGGTCACATTTTTTGAACCTAAAGCCATCATGTTTCTTTCCCCTCAGATTCCCCCCCCACACACACACACATTTGAGCGTTTTGAATGCATTATAAACATGCACCAGGTGGTGCTGGAGAGCAAAGAAAAAAATTCTAAACGGTTTTCCATAGCATTTTTTTCTTTTGTTATAACAATTGAATTTCTGAGTTATTCATAGTGGCTCCCCCCCCCCCCCCGTGTGTAGATCCACGCCTGGCTATGAATCCCTGCTTCCCTATTGAGCTTAGCAGGTGACCTTGAGACAGTCACCGTCTCTTAACCTAACCTCCCTCCCAGGATTGTTGTGAGGCTGAAATGGAAGGAAAGAGAGAAAGAGAGAGGGCTTTTGCACAGCACCTATGCATACTGCCCGGAGCTCCTTGCAGGAAATTTGGAATACAAATTTAAGAAATAAATAACACAAGAGCCGGTTCCAGTTATGGGGATTTCTTCCATCTGGAAACATACCAAAGTCTGAGCATAAGCAGAGCTGGTGCTCCATATTGGGGGTAGAATTTCAAAAACTCAGTCACTACTTCTCAGCATTATTTATAGGAGTATTGTGAGGGAGAACTGGGCCTGCTGCCTGGAGGTCTTTGAGGAACAGTGGGAAGATAAAGAGAAGCGGATGGTGCAATAAAGAGCCAGTGTGGTGTAGTGGTTAAGAGCGGTAGTCTCGTAATCTGGGGAACTGGGTTCGCTTCCCCGCTCCTCCACATGCAGCTGCTGGGTGACCTTGGGCCAGTCACACTTTCTCTGAAGTCTCTCAGCCCCACTCACCTCACTGAGTGTTTGTTGTGGGGGAGGAAGGGAAAGGAGAATGTTAGCCGCTTTGAGACTCCTTAAAGGGAGTGAAAGGCGGGACATCAAATCCAAACTCTTCTTCTTCTTCTAGATGTACGACTCTTCCCTTTGAATGGTAAAAGCCAAGGGTTTCTGCATAGAGATACACTCCAAGCTCATCTCCTGGTCCTCTACCCAGGCAAACAAAGAAGGATTATTACAGTTCAAGGACACATTCACTCCCAGGGAAAATGCGCACTTGAGCTGGGTGGTATGGACCAAGAAGGGGTGTGTCAACATGGGAAGAGTCCCGGGGGCCAGGCAGAGAAAGGCTAGAGGGCCACATTTGGCCCTGAAACCCGAGGTTCTCCACCCCATGATAGGTCAACACACACACACACCCCACTGCATGCCTGAAAGTCTGGTGCTAAGTCAACATTCCCCCCTGGCATGCTTGATAGGCTTGAAAGTCTGGTGCTAAGCTAATGTTCCCGCCCGCCCCTGCCCTGGCACATTTCAGCAGAAGCCCAGAGGTGCATTGGGGTAGCAGGGAGGAAGTCTTAATACTGCAAACTGGCAAAGCACACGTCCGACTCTTAGTGCTCCTGGCACAACACCCTCACTTTGGAGTCCGTGGTTTGGCCTGGCTTGCAACTTATTCTACTGCAAAAACTTTCTCGTGCCTATTCTGCCGCGCCACTTTTGGGCAGAAGATTCTGTTTTCCGGTTTATGTTTTTATTTATTTATTTGGTCAGGAGGCCCTATCAGCGGGTCAGTGGGAAATTGCTGGCGGTTCCTCCCCCCACCCCCGTGCAGCAAAATTGAACCGTGTGTGGCCTATTTGGAATATTTCCGTTTCACACAGGGAAAGCGCTTCTGTTCCCGAAAGCTGTGTGATGGTGCTTCCACAGTTGCCTGTTGCTCCAGGGCTCCTTGAAAGAATGGCCTATGACTGTTCTATGCGGGGGTAGGGGTGGGGTTGAGGGGGGTTGACAGGGGTCAGCGTTCCTCTTCACGTCTCAGGTATATTCTGGTGCAGAGAACCTCAGCTGATGGTGAGAGCATGTCAAGGCTAACCCCAAAGAAACATGGGCAAATGTTTCATTGGTCCATTCTGTCACAGACACTTTCGGTATTCTTTCTCTCTTCCCTTTGCTGGTATCTGAGCACAGAATGGGTGGGGGAACTTTCCTGCAGAGTCATTGCTAAATGTTGATCCAGTATCAAGGTACTTTGCACGAGGACTGTCTGTGGAATCCCACAAGAGAAGGGAATGACCCCTGTGTGTTTTCCCACTGGATCCTCTTTGAACTGTGGGCTGGTTCAGTC